AGTAATTCATCAGGGCGTGCTTTGAAGTGCTGATGAAAGCTGTCGGCGATATTTTTACTGATTTCGCTTGCATTTTCATTTCAATTGCCATAATATCGAGGGAAATTCTCTCACAAATAGGGATATTTGTTCACTCAACTCAGTGTCACAACAATGTAGAAGCAGGGGTATATTTTTCACAAACAAACAATTCCTTGCATTTCTTTGTTTTATTTTCAAAATTGAATATTGACAATTAGCTTAACATGTGTTTATTAGTGTGACCAGAAAAATTTCTGCAGAAAGTCACACAATAATGACAACTTAAGCTGCAACTTGCATAACCTGCTCCTCAGGTGCGCATTTCTTTGTTTTATTTTCAAAATTGAATATTGACAATTAGCTTAACATGTGTTTATTAGTGTGACCAGAAAAATTTCTGCAGAAAGTCGCACTAGAATGACAACTTAAGCTGCAACTTGCATAACCTGCTCCTCAGGTGCGCTCTGCAGCTTAGAAATCCACATTCAAGTTGAATTAATAAATTCATTATTCACAGATTAAAATAAATGTGATTGTAGGGATTGCGTTATGAGGGTACATTGCATGGTATTTACCGGAAAATCTAGAGCTCATTTACATTTAAGTGAGTGCGTAAAGAAGTTAAAAATTATGGCTTCACTGATTTTACAATGTCTGCCTGAGATGCCACTTGTTTTACATTAGTAAAAAATGCGCGGTAACTGTTATGGAAATATTATTGCGGATTATGTTTGGATCGGGAGAAGGCTAAACAAACATTGTTTTAGTCCTAAACTGCTAGCAAAAATAAATAAATATTAGATTATTTTTGCGATTTTCTTTCATTATTAATGCCCGTGAGGATTTGAAAGTTATACCGACGTCACTCAATCAAAAATGTTCTGATATTTTCTATTAAATTGGGAAATGTCAATTATAGTTGCCAAATATTAAATTTTGTTTCGTTGGAGATAGAGCGGGAGATTTCATGGGTGTAGTGAAAGTTTCATATTGGAAGCGTTTTCGAAAGTTAGGCATTTTCAGCTGATCCGATTGTGTTGCGTATCGCCTCAGTAATGAACGGTGCCGGATTAACTGGAGATTTTGGCCCCAGTTTCATTGCAGCCTAAATATTTAAATAAATCATTGAGCTTTTGCAGCCGCTCCAACGCAGGCAAACTGCCGTAAAAACAAAACCTTTATACGATAAAATGTTCAAATATGTAAAATCTGAGGAATATTCAAGATGATGAGGTCGAAGTTAAATTAAATCAATAAGATTATAACTATGAATACGTCAAAATTGTACGTCATTATTTGCATATTTGAACTTTTCAGCTCTAAATATTTCGAGATATATTAAAGACTAGCTAATTCTTGCTGTAAGTTTGCTTTTCGAATACACATTTCATTCCTTAAAATTTCTGAGAATGTTATTTCCTCAATAAAATGATGCCGATGAGAGCACCTTCTTCGAGTAAAACGCGTTTTGATGTTCAGTATCACACGACTCTCACCCTTTATCTCCTTTAGCTTTCGCTTCACACATTCTTTCTCATTCAATTAAATTGTGATATTGCTTCGAAATTCAAATTTCATCTCAATTATTAATTATTGTTCAAAGTTCTAAAGGTATTCTAATTAGTAAGTGAAATGTAATATTAAGAGTGAAATGTAACATTATATTAATCAAGTTTTCTATCCCATCTTCCGTATTTTTTCCTATTCGACCCTGAGCTCAATTGAGGAACGCTTAATTCCCTGTTGATGGAAATGCAATCTGCGTAAAAATAGTTATTGAAGCAGTAGTGTATAACAGTGGTATATTTAATTATGCATTTAAGATTATATTCTTTCACGCTAATTTGCCCCCCACTGAAACCAATTCGATTTATTTAATCGCAAAACGTTAACCGCAAAGCATTCATTTCTTTCATAAAAATTGTAAACTATCGGACATTGTACAATTTCGCAGATATATCGTCAATTTGCATATTTTCATTTGCTGACGATTTTTAGCAGCAGAACTCATCGCACATGAGCTGGAGGCGCTGTAAGCTTTTACCGCTAAAATGTTTGAGTCAACAGCGTCCAGTGAGCAACAATGACGTGTTCTCAGAACAACATTGCAAATCCAAACACATGATGGACAGGCTCTCGGCAGCGTGCCTCAAGGGCCCGCAGAAATGCCCATGTTTTAGCGCTCGCATGCCTGAGTGAGTGGAATGGAGTATCACTTCGATATGCGCTGCCATTAATTGTTATTGGAGGTAAGTGCGGGCTGAGAGCAATGGTTTAGAGCGTTTTAGTACATTTTATAGTTCAGTCATTTAGAAGTTCAACGAAACTAGTATTAAAGAAGAAAATCTTCTGTCCAACTGCACTAACATTCCATAAAAGTGTAGACTCCTCGAATGTTTCAATTTAATTTAGACTTATTTAATTATAATACATTTGAACAAATTTTTTATGACTCAAACAAAATAAACTTAGCTTTATTTTACCTCGAGATTTGAAAAACAAATTTTTCGTTCAAATTCAATTTCATCATCTAACAAATTTCCCTTTTTTAGTTCTGATGTCCAACGGAAATCCCTGAGGTTGTGACCAATCAGGAAAAATACGAGTATAACCTCGTATTGAGTTGAATTCTTATTTATCTTATCATCATCAGATTGTTTTATATCGAGATAAATGAGCGCGCGAACGAATTTTCGCGACTTTACTACAAGGACTGGAATGCTTGTTAAACAATATTAAATATTTTCCATCTCACCTTTGTATGGGTAAAAACAAGCATGAGGATAAAATAACTTTATTTACAACACAAAGGAGGTTTGGAATGTTAAATATACAATTTTTTGATCTTAATAATATCTTAGGAGCTAAACAATTAGTTATCTTATTCACGTAAACGAGTAGATTCGTCAGTTACCGACGTTACATTCGGCTACTGCTTGATCAATCACTTCGATTAACTTTGAAACTTGATAATTTTTCAATTTTTTTTGTTCTTCTTTTAGGAGTCGTTTCTCTGTAAAAGTCCTATAAAATTATTTTAATATACATTTTAGAATCATAATTTCTGATTTGTATCCAAAAAATCGTGCATTACACGAAAAACAAGCAGTCAAGTGTGTCGCTCGAAAACAACATAAAGTGAGCACTACTAGCTGAATGAATTCCGTTAATTTTTTCTATGGATTCTTTTAAAGTTCCTCGACACTGCAAGTAATTATATTAATATTACTGGCGAGAGAACTGCGGTCAATCAAATTATCACGTTTTAAATCAGAATAGGATAGCAGCAATTCGATATCATTACAGAAGTTTTCCAGAATACCCGGATCGGTGTATCAAGCTATCATGAGAATAGTTTTTTCAATCGTTTTAGAAATAACGGAATTTACTATATATGCCGTTAAAAATTGACGGTTTTTTTTAAATACTCCTGCATTCCATAATGGAATTTGCATCTGAATTATATTAATAGTACTAGATTCACACACATCTGCGCACTCTGTTAAACTCTTTGGTACTACCAAAGAAAGATTCTCCTTCAGGTTCGATTGCCGAAATGAATGAACTTATACATTCTGGTGCCGAGCCATAAATTGCATGTTTATTGCAATGACCGCACGATGTCACGCACAGACTTAGTGTCGCTTAACAAGCATTTGCAGATTCCCCTGCAGAGCGACGCTGCCATAAGCTGTTTTAGGCGCTGAAACCTTCGCGATCCAAACATAAAAATTTGGAATAGAACTTGAATCAATTCATAGTCAAAATGAATAGCGATTTGTTAGTTTAACCATCTAATAAAATTAAAATATGTGCGCAGAAAACAGTTATTTTGTCGAAGCCATTAACTAAAATTCAAATGGTCAACGTTTCATGCAGAAGTTAATTGGTGCTGTCGTGCGCAGGAGACAGAAATGCAAATCAAATCTTCAGAAAATCATGCTCCTCACAGCTTATGCCCTGAAATGGTTATTTCACGTGGAGAGCCTGATCTTAAAATTATTTAAGCGACATCCATGTACTTGAATGATGTGCAAAGTCATATGTACAAAATATTTCAAGATTAAATTCTGCATTGATGCAACGTTAAATCAGGTTAATATTTTTATTTATCAGCCTTAGTTTATCAATGTGACGATGTAGTTATATTCAAGTTATTCCGTGCATTTCCGTATAAAAATCAAGTCGAAATTTGCTCAACTTTTTCATTGCCTAATTGCGAGACATTCCTTCGCGATCGTTAATATTTGTGTAATAAACATTTAATGGTATTGAGCAATGGTGTACCAGAAAATAACGATCAACCCATACTTGCTGAAAAAATTAAAGATCATTTTCAGAGAGCTTGAAATTGCCGTAAAAATATAATGATTATATCCCGAAAAGGTTATCAATAATATAATACAATTTTTTTAATTTTCAAACATATGTGCAAAAAGGCGGACAATTTTACCTGGTGCCATCGGGTTCGAAAAAAAGAATTTGTTTGAAATAAGTGGAATGTGCCCATACAATCATTCGATTGTAATTCATAATTTCACTTATCGCACATATTTTGCATACGTTGAATTTATTCATTACTTTTTTCCGTCTCCGCAGAACGTTTGACGTTATTGTCGATGTTTTTATCTTGACCTACTAAAATGATTAATTTCTATAATATTTTCGTAGAACTATACGTAAAATGTTATAATATCATTTTATAAAAAATTGTATTGGGCAATTAAATAATCTTTCAAACATTACTATATTTTAAAATCAGTCAATAAATAATATTATTTTAAAATATTTCACGTTAAGATGAATTTTCTATACTGTTTTAAAGATATGTCTGCACGTAAACATAAGTTTCTTATTGAACATTTAAATATTCTGTGAAGTTAAAAAAAAATAATAATAATAATAATAACAATAATAATAATAATAATAATATTACTAATAATAATAATAATAACAATAATAATAACAATAAAAATAAAATTAAATCGCCGTCGGATTACAAAAGATTCAAGAACAATTGGAGACTTACAAATCAATTACAGAATACAGATACAGATCAATAAAACAGCCAATTACATTTAGCTCACAGATGTGAACGCTTGAGAGTTGAGTTCATATGCTTGAGAAAGCATATGAACTTTTTTCAGGTATTGCTGTTTTTCATTCGACTGGTGTAAATACGAGTTATTGTTCATTTATTACACGCCTAATTTAAAAATAACATTATAAATCACTCACGTTGAGAAATAAGGTCAAGTATGAGATCGCTAGAGAAGGACATACTCGATATTTTGGAAGTATTTCGCTACCTTGCGTGCCCCCAACTTCAAGACTGATCAACTTCGGGCACTGAAAGAAGACTTAATGAAATTCACCCGACCTGTTTTCAATGTACCTCGCTGCTCGACAAAAACAAAGACGCCAACGAGCTTCACGAACTTTTACAATCGAAGTTCCTGTCGAATTACACGTTTGGTCGACCTCGTCCTGCTCTCGCCCTTCTAAACGTGACTTTGCTGCTTTGCTTGTTTAACATCGACGCCTTTTTCTTTGCCCTTTTGCCGTCATCTAGATTATTTTCAAAGATCATTTTCATTTTATTTATTCAATTCTTTACACTGTATTCCATTCGAAAATTTCTATGCTAAAAATCTGTATAATTATTAAACTTGAAATCTTTGGCATATATGCGATTTCGGATTATTTAAGCACGTTGCTCAGTAGGAAAGTGGATATATTAAGTGAAAAGTCACAATACTCTCATAAAATGCTTTATAATATACACGAGATTATATAAACCGTTACCAAAGTCTAGCATATTCTCATCAATTGTACAACGTTTAATAAAATATTTTTCATTAGAAACGTTTAAAATTTCATACATAGATTTATCGCCGGATTTTGTTGAAGCATCTCGATTTAAAGTATTTAAAACCGCTCCAGATTGCGTGACATTAAAATGTGTAAACATTAATAAATAGACACACGTCAGTGCTCTAGAACATTGTGTAGAGGATACTTCTTACACAGTTATAACACAGACCAAATCCTAATATTTTAATCTTAGTGCAATGATTTTTGGTTATAGCGGTGTGCGCTACCCCTATAGCTATACAGTGCCGCGCGAACACCTCATCTATCGACGGCGCTTACAACCTCGCTTCGCTCCCGTAACTTCGAGGCAGCAAAGAACCTGGCGATGTCCACATGCAAGACTAGGGGAATGAAGAGCAGGCAGAGGCCATGCATCAGTGATACCAGCGTCGGCAGCAGCAACATCGATGGATGACCTGCTGATCCTGAGGCCACAACGTGCGAGCTGCTGTTGGTCGTTTGCATCGCCGCTGGTGTCTCGCCTGCAACCAGTTTAGTGCCAAAGATTAGTTATAGAAAGTGGAAATATGGGTCGGTTACCTGTGTAATTACATGCGCGGTTATTTTCAGTTACGTTAACAGAGAATATTTGCGCTGGAGCAGTTCATGTGGGCTGGGTAATGGATAAAGTTATAACTAATTGGGCATTCATCGAAATTTCTATCACAATTGACTTCCAATCTTCGAAATCTTCGGAATATTTGCTTTCAATATTACGGGAATATTTTAAGAATATTAGGAACATTTGCCGCAAAGTTACTAATAAAGACATAAGAATATTACTCATACTTTTAAGCACGTGGACAACAACAGAAGCGTTGCCGGCGTTGGCAGGTTTGCAGGAATATTTGCCGGAGTCTTTTTGTGTGGCGTTGGCGACGAGGAGAGACGATCGCGTCGTTGATCCCGAGTGCGTCGTCTCCACGTCGACGCCGTGACCTCGACCCCCGTAGTTGACGAGCTGATAACACCAGGTTTGAGTTTGCATGTGAGAAATAGCCACTTAGCAACTCTCATGTCGATGTCTTGTAAAGCTACAAAGTTAAATTACAACACCCGGCTTTCATGACGGAAATAACGATATAGTTGAAGTTAAAGATTGCAGAGGCGAAATGGGTTAAGCCTCCGAGTCTTCAGTTTAATCATCAGAAAGCAGATTTTCTGATCTACATGAGCGGCGAGATATTTAAAGTTATTAATAAATTGTTTTGGGAATAGGTGACTGAATATATTTTTACTCCTAATAGGCAACCATTTACTGACATTATAACCTTTGTACAATTCATGATCAGAGCAAACCGATTCAACTTGAACTTCACAGTTATACTTGCAGCTACTACACTATCACATCTTTAGTATATACTGTACATCAGTTCTGAAAATATTTTCCTAAAATATCAACTCTGTGGGTGATCTCAACTCGAGATTAGCAAGGCAAAGAAAGTTTTCAAACAAAATGACCCATTTAAATGTACAGTTGAATTCGCTTCCAACAGCATTTCACTTTCAAAAGTTATTGACATTCATATTCATGTCAAGTTATCACCTCGTGATCAGAATTCATTCATGTGCATATTTTATGTTGATCGTATAGCGAGCTGAATATTGATTGTTAGTGCACGAAACGCCCGGAATGAAACTGTTTCGTTGCGTTCGGTCGTCACTTCTCTGCAATGCGATTTTCGATCAATTAAGAGAATAAGAGACTTCAAAAGATGCCGCGAGATTATCAAGAGCTGTAATTCCTTCTACAAACGGGTGCTGTTTCGGTTCTTTAAAGGATTTTGTTCTGAAATGTATTGCCTTTGCACCGTTGAATTTTTATGTTCAGGGAAGAGATGACCATGCACTCCTTAGAAACTATTTGACTCTATAAAAATGAACAATTTAGTTCACGTTGTCAGGAAAATGTCTCTTTAAACAAAAATTATATTAGTTCTACATTTGAACTCCTCAATGTCACAGCGATAGAAACATTTTTATGACTCAGTATAGTGCCTGTGACAAGTACCTCAGACGCTAGCCAGTTGTTTTCATTAGTTTATGGCCAGGTTTTAATCGATTTCAATAATGTTGTGCAGTCTAATCAAAAGTTTTCAACTCGGCTCATCGACCAGTCATCAACGAACAATTCTCGTTCACTGAGTTTTAGTTCAGTTAATCTTATCCAAGTATTCGAATAGCCCCATTCGAGAAATAACCAGTATAATACATTGGAAAATGCGATAGTAAATCTATTTATAAATTTGTAAATTTTATCTATTAGGAATAAATTTCAAACTCCGCTCGATGAGTGATAAAATAAAAATAAAACTAACGCATTTTCCTTTCAAAACTACCTCTGACGGGTATAACAATTCACATAATTGCTACTATATTTAAAATTTCGAGCGTACCAGCTTTTTTATTACTAAGAATAATAACAGACTTTGATGTTGATGGTAATGATTTTTAATTAACGATGCTACATTTTAAAATGTGCTTTTTTATTAAAATTTTAGTACACTCAGCTTTATTGCCTAAGCTACTTTTGCACACTCAATATACTTGAAATTATATATGACCAATGTACATTATGGATTTTTATGGGCGAAAAAAAAATTGATGGTAATAACACCTGAATCTTGTTTTGCAATTACTACCTATCCCGGTTGCTTTTTATTTTCACTTCTTATGCTATTTCCACTCATACCATTGGCTTAATAACCCTCCGTTACAAACTGAGGCATTTTTGCACTGGATATATCAACATTCTAAATTATAATCACCACAAGTGCGTATTGTACTGACCTCGTCCCTGTGGTACCACAACACAAACTCTGGTGGTACGGGGCTGTGGCGCACCACACACGTCAGGTTGAGGGCGCTGCCGTGGTCCAGGAACACATCACTGCCACCCAACAGCTCCGCTGCCGGCACTAGAATGCACAATATCCCACGCTTAATACTAATATGTATTACTTAGACATGACGTCATACGTATTTGAATGCAAAAAGTGCGAGGAGTCGTTTTAAATTTCGGAACTGAAGAACGGTGATTTATTTGACCTACATTTCTGAATCCTCATGCGTTTAAGGTTGAGTTTTATACGTGAGCGATCATACAAATTATGTAAATTAGACAGATGATAAGCATTGAACACATATTCGAAACACAAACATTTTTAGTGTTTCCGGTTCAGTTTTCTTTGATTATATATTATTTGTTTAATCTGCTGGACTCTGAGCTTACCTACGACGCTGAGCTTGACAGTGTGGGTGATGACAGGCTTGGTGGAGAGGCTGCACTCGTACAGGCCGGAGTCTGACAACTGCGGACGGCGGATGACAAGCACCCAGTCGCCCGACGAGGGGTCGCGGTGCGCCGTGAAGCGATCGTCGTTCGTGAACGAGAACGCGCCCACCGTCAGCATATGCAAGTCCCGGTGCCGTATCCAGGATACCTACGGCAACCACAAGGATCGAGTGGCTCGTAACTATCATTGGGACAGCCAGTGCTGATGAACAGCCAGTGCTGATGATAAGATGCTTGTGATAACTCAAGTACACGAACGTTATTGCATGTAAAAGTATTATTTTGTTGTTAGATATGAAATTTGTTTAAAAATTTACCTCGTCATGAAAATTCAAAGGAGTGCATTCGAGATAACCGCGAAAATTTCACAAATTGTATGTGAATTAATGGTTAGACATCTGGTTTTATTGATGCGATGGTAAATTAGTTCATGTCCCAGTTGAACAGAATCAATATATCGAAAAGTTTTTATGCTAGTTAATTCGGGCCATTAACTTGAGCTCCACACACTCTACAAATTTTGCGTCAAGAATCAGTTGTGTTCATACAAAGCTAATGAAATTCCAGAAAAATTCTCCCTAAACGCATCAGGTTCGTGTTCTGAGCCCAAGAATTATGACCGCCCCTTATAGTTCTCATTTTAATCTTTGCTTTCTGGGCTCAGCGGACGGTCTCTCATAATTTTTTATGAGCAATCCTGGCCACGCAAACCCACTGATTTTTGGCAGGTAACGTCTCTTGCCAACGCTCACAAATTACAGACATCACAACCATCTACACTCTTCGTGTTACATTCTGCAGTTTAGAATTCGAAGGCGCGCCAAAATTAAATTATCTGTGTTAAATGCCTGTAAAATGATAACTTTATTGAATTACTCGACCATTTGATGTACATTTTTACAATGAAGTTTCGCAAGTCAGATTAACGGTGATATGTGGGCCGTTTTTTGCTGGTAATATTGGCGTTATATAAATAGGTCAAATATTTACTGAAATATAATTTTTAGTGAAATCTTTACTACATTCTGAAAATTAGAAGAAGCAATCCATCAAACGATTGATTATGACCACAATTTATTTTGTCTAGCATGCTCGCAGAATAAGTCATTTTAACAAAAATTTAACTACAAATCTCTACAATTACGTCATTGGGAAATGTTTAAATTGAATTACGAGAGCTTTTCGGAGTAAAATTCGCTCTTACACACGAATAGAAGCTCTCAGAAATTACTGCGTGGGATATCTTGCGAGACCGCTTCTCCACTGCGTGACATCGACAAATCTTTGGAGCAAATCTTGACCAAATTAACATTTTTGTTAATCAATCTTACCCAAATTACCTTGGTTGCAAAATAATCTTGACCAGATTAACAATGTTTCAAATTAATCTTACCCAAATTACCCTTGTTGCAAAATAATCTTGACCAAATTAACAATGTTTCAAATTAATCTTACCCAAATAAATCTTGCCGAACTCACGGATTTAGCACCAAGGCTGCGCGCCTTGCACGGTATGTGCGCGGGAGCCCCCACCGCGGCGACCACTTCCCGGGGCGAGTCTGGCGCGAAGTGAGGCTCCCGCGAGACGGCGGGCGTCGTGACGCGGGTTGTGTTCTCGTCGTCGCTGCTCAGGATGGGGTTGATGCGCACCTCCGCGGCGCAGGTCCACAAACCTGGGAGCAAAGTTTGAGGCATTTTGACGCATCTGAAATTTGAGATGTTAAATTAAATCTTGAATCTCAAGTTTGCGGGCCTGAGATCGGATTGAAGATCTTAAATCTGCCGGAAAAAAACGTAAAAAATTACTCTTTCAAATAGAGGATTAAATCCATTTTACTGTTCACACGCAAAAAAGTACTCCATTAAATAGAAGAGACGATGAATGAATATGCAAGCTTATTATTAGAAGCAAGAAACGGATAAATAGGGTGATTACGAACGTTGAAGTCAATGCGTGGCCGCTCTACAGTATGTGATCATATAACTATCATAACTTGGTCTGAACATTATTGGGAAATTCATTTTAAAAACCGGGTTATTGTTATTTCTCATAACCACATAGATGAAGAAACATTTCTTCATTGATAATTTCAAAGTCAATTTCCATAACCGGCCATCACATCCCGAAAGGACAATTCCTTAGCATAGTTTTTTTAAGTTAATGAAATAGGTACTTAATTAATTCCCAAATTGATATTCAAGATCGTTTACATAAAAATTTATTAAACATAAAATCAGTGATCAATACAAATGTACAGACTCTATTTCAAATACAAAGGAACATTAGAAAGTCCACTCAGGCCAACGTAAGATATTCTAGCTGTAGATTGACCCACAGGGCAGCTTGATGTGGCTTCTGCTCCGACATCTTCCCTTCAATTATTATTGCTGTAACAACCATCGCCCTTCAGCTACTCGTCTATCACTTTGTAATTCTACAATTCAAGCGTGAGAAATTTAAGTTTTTCATGATTGTTTTATGCTCTGACTTATTCTATTTTTCTTGAGTCTAATATAATGCGGGTTTTTCGCAGATTCAAAATACTTCACTTCCAAAGGGGGGAAATAGCGGTGGGAATGATGGCAAAATACCATATATGTAAGATCAAAAGAAATTATGTTTACCGCGTAAACGCATTACCGCAGGCAAGTCAGCTTCAATTACTGGGTCAATTTACGTGAAGACTCTCACAGGAAATTAGAAAAATATATATTGTTTATAACTATTAATGACAGTTTATTTCCGGCGCATAAAATCGAATAATGCGGACAAGAGGCATCGAATCGAATGACATTTGAAACGTGTATGGGAGAAGCTGTATATTCATTTGAAAAAATCACGATTGAAGATGGTATTATTTGATATGAGCGTGAATAACTTTCTAATATTTTCCTGGAATAACATAACCATGGAAAATATTTTTTCTATCAGTCATCAATATATTTATTATATAAACGATGGTTCTCACTAACTCTTTACGCAAAATAACAATACTAAAATACAAATTACATCGCAACTGTTACGCCGAAATATGCCTCCGAGTAAATATTTAATGCTTAATATTTAAAGACTTAATATTTAATATTTTTATTTTCAATCATTAATAGTGGTAAAAAATACACCTATAATATTGCAGGTTATTTATGTAATCAAATCAATATGCTTTATAAATCACGTCAAGAATTATTGTCCACATTCTACCCGAAAGGAAATGTAAGTTATACTGTGAGCTATTATTATTTCCTTATGTTACCGTTAGCAATTATCGTCGTTCTTTACAAACATATTACCTGCCTCAATATTTAAATGCCCAATAAATCTATATTCTTTTAAACTCTGTTGAATTTTATCCCGAACGTACATCTGAGTTTGTTTGGAAGCTTTTCATATTTTGGCTTAAATACTTTTGAAATCATGAGTGTTCTCAATAGAACTTCGTTATATATTGTGATCGAATTGAAATTTGATTAATTTAATATCTAATATTATTTCAGTTTCATCGAATAATTATTGACGAATAACTGTTCCAACGCGTTGTCACAAAAAGCTATTAGGTCGGCCGTATGATGAAGCTTGATTAAAACATAATTTTAACTAACTTTAATGGTGAATGCTTCTGAGATTTTATTTAATAATATCTGCAGCGTTCAGAATTTCATATACGAATGCGTCACCTACAAATATTTTACTCATGAAGCCTTGAACTCTGTGAACCAAAATTGGCACTTCTTCTTTGTACTGTGACAAAGTAAATCGATTAAGGAAATTTCCGCATAAAAATATGTACCTATATTATTAAATCCGGATAAAATTCGCTACATGAAATTTGATGGATTTTATTTATTCCCATGACGTATATTTCAGTGTATTTTAATTTTGAAATGATTTTTCCATGAATTTCTAATATTCTTAGAGAATGATTATAAACATGCATAGTTATAGATTTAAATCAACGTGATTTCTTTCTCTCGTTACAACGACGACTGTGAATATTTCTCTTAGCATTGCTAAGAGAATTGCTCTTCATGAAGTATTAACAAATTAATCGCGCACGTTGGTCGATCAGAACAAATTAGCTCGTCAAAGTTTTTATTTCTCATGATTGGACGGCCAAATTCAGTTCTTATACACTCAGATTTATTACTTCTCTGTCTGAACTTCTGAACTGACTCTACAGGGTGACGGTGGAATAGCAGTTTAAAATGCTGTTGTGTTGTGAAGTTAATATCGAGTTTGTCGGACTTCTCATGAAATGTCACGAAACTCATCATAGTTTCTTAAGAACTCGACAGCAATCGCGGCAGCAAGCTGACATTGCAGCCACCAAGCTTCAAGCCACTCAATGGACTTTCAGGTTTCAACTTCGGCTGCAACTCTGGTCACGGAATGCACCAAGTTAATTCGAACGCTATTCCACTGTTAAACACTTGATGAAGGCTACAATGGTGGCGGTGCATTTGGTTACAGTGAAGGAAATGCTGGTGAACAATTCTACCACGCGCTGACACAGTTAATTAGATTACAGATATTCTCATACTGCCATCAATCATTTAAGAGAGACAAAGAAAAAGACGCGTGGAAGGCTCACGATATTCTGATAAGTTAACGTAAGAAATGTTATCGTGACAAGTTTAAAGCAGGAAATATTATATTCGTACACGTGGGAGAAACGAATAAAAAGACGCGACATATTTTATTCAATCATCAGACAACGAAAAGAAAAACACGTGGAAGTGCACAAATAAATTTTGCAAGACAAATATTTTTTAACCTGGTGGTACAGAAACTAACTCATTCAATTAATCGGCTCGTGATCATAGATATATAGTGAGTTGGTAATTTATAAAATTATACAGCATGTTTTACTTACAAAAAGATTACCCTCTCAGTTGTATTACAATTCATCAAGCGGGCATTCCCTTGATTTTATCAGCGATTAAATCTCAAGAAGACTTAAGTCTCGGGACACCATTAGAAACGAATATAATATTTAAGTGTCCAACTTGTGACCTGGAAGTTTTATATTCAACTATTCATTGCAAGTACTAATTAACTCGATACGACCTGGCACTCTGACTACAGGTTTAATTTGTCTCAAGAGCGAAACTCGTGGTGGACGAAAGTAATCGAATTCTAAAATAAAAATCATCGAACTCAAACGAGTGTTTGCCAGTGTTTATGACTTTGTTGGGCTCTCAGAACACCCAACTAGCCTACATGATCGTATAAGCTCGTGATATTGATGAATAGTTATTAAAACACTTTATTAACGCACTGTCAAATGAACCCATTTAAATAATCAATATATAATAATATCAGCACATTAAGAATGTAAAGCTTTCATCTTGGGGGCTTGGCTTTCGAGACTAACTTGAGTCTAACTCTTGGTTTGAGGCTAAATCAACATTTGATTAACTATTGGTCTGAGGCTTACCTAAAAAGAAACAAATAAAAAAGATGAATAATAGCAAGCTAAACATCAAACGTATTCATAAATATACAACCTAAAAATTCACACAATTTGTCCACATCGAATCTATTCACATATACTGTATATTCACATATTCACATCCTAACGAAGCACATACCTTCGCTCCGGCTTTCCACGCAACAATAATCAACGAACCTTGGCATTCCGTATATTTCTTCCGGTGAACTCTAAATTAAAATTACAAATGAAATTTAGAATAATAAACTATTTTTCAACAAATATTATCGCCTCTCATTACATAAAACTGACAAAAGATTTCAATCCTCTACAACTTTTTAAAGTTATTCATGTTCTAATTACAAATAGGTGGTACATTTGGGCAGGAGTAGTTCTTTAATGCACTTTTTGAGAATTTGAGAGAGAAGAACAATATAAACATTGTTGATGAGAATTAAGCTCTAGTCACTAACAAAACGTGCATTAAAGAATTTAAATATTCAATAAATTTTGATTTTTAACTTTGAATTAAATATTTTTCAACGACCTGGACTGATAATTGACGAATAATCATGTGGGAACTAATTCGTGTACGTAGTTTCTTTTTATCGTTCATTAAATATCAGATGAGTAGCAAACATATTTACTAGGCGCCGTATACACTGGGGCACTAACGCTTCAATTTACATTATTTAAAATTTTATCGCTGATTTACCGAACTCAGATTTCATTTACAAAGCATGAACATATATCAAACTACGAAGCTTTAATTAATATATCTAAATATATTCTATTATAACGAAGCATCTTTAGATCAGGAATAAATAAAGTTTTTTCTGCGTTGTTTTACTTTGCTCTTTCACCCTCAGCCAAATTTTTCATATTTTTAAGAAATAAATTGCAGTAGCAATATTTCTATTTGCATGAACTTCAACCCGTACTCTGAAATTTAGTTGGACCAGTCAAGCTCCTGAGTGCGGACGATTTTGTTGCTTTCTCAAGAAAGACTCGGCCTCGACGATAGCCAAATGATCAATAAATTGCGGACGGTTATCGACTATGTTTGTTCAGGGATTTCTTGAGCTTGCATGTGCGCACAGTTTGACCTCAGGCCGCGCATGGGGAGACGAGTGGCGTTATTACGGAGAGCGACCGGCCAGTGAATCAATTCTGGCTCGGCTGCACACATGTCGCTATTTCTTTCTTAAGTCCCGATTTTTAGGCCTGTTTTTACAAACACGAACATTGAACTGATGAAACTTTCGCTGAACTTGTTCATAAACTAGAAAATAGTGAGCAATGATGTTACAGCTGACGCTATCGCAAGCATATAAATCTAGATCTTCAGGCTCATGCTAACGTGACATGCAATAATTCTGCAAAGAATATTAAAAACTTCGCGAATGGGCTGATACCCATGTTCTTTTTCTGTTTCAGTAGATTCTATATACAAAATCTTCTAAATACATATTACGTATAAGGGACTATTGTGAACTTGAGTTATTTTAATCGCGGCTAGCAAACAAAACAGTTCTGAATGATTTGAGAATTTTCTGATGGCTCGAAGTTTATCATCTGCAACTTGCTATTACAGCGAATTGAACAGTTATGATTACTTCTTGTATTTTCACACCACCAAAAGATATGAAGGTTCCTAATATGATTTTTTAGGTGATTGGTTTCAATCTACTTTCATATACAGTAATTACATTCTTAATCTGGCCAATTGCGACAAAGTTTTTTAATTTTTGGGACTTAAGAATTTTTGAGGGAAAATATATTTTTATTTCGAGAGACGTAAGCTGCAGGGCGACTTGCAGGGATGAGCCCGTATTTATTTAATGGATTCTTTCAAAGACTTCTGTGGGTTCGGGCGTCTCGTTAGCGGTAGCTTTGTGCCACAGTAGAGCTCAAAAAAACCGAAAATATTGCTCACCAAAAATATATATTTAGAAGGTTACTGAAAGGATGCGCATCTGGCACCTGTATATATGGGACTGATCAGGATCTATATACAGTATGTACAGGTACAGTATATAGGGAAACATATAAAAAATGTAGATATAACACCATATAAAATGTATATGTTTCTTTATTTGAACGAAAATTTCTCTAAACTTTTATAAAAAGATAAAATAAGTCTAATTGTTAATTCTTTTTTAAGCCCTTATTCAATGAGCCTAGTCCTTTATTCTGCGCAAATTATTTGAATTTGGAGATGCGTTGTGGGCCTGAATTTTGAATCACGCGAGAATTCTGAATTTTTTTGGGAAATCTCTGAATAATTGAATAGACCTGAGAAACAGAATATCACCGAACTGCTCTGAATTTAAAAGTTTTACAACTTCTTATTTCTACGCAATTTTTGTGATTAGTTTAATTAGCTTAAAAAATATAACAGAGACTGCACTTACATAATTGATTCGGCACTCTGAATGTTCATTGTAGAAAAGCCACCCATGAGACAGCTGAATGCTCTATAATTACGCCAACTGAATGTCGCTGAGCTAAACTTGAGCCCTTGATGGAAAATTAGAAGCAATATTCCAGTATAAAGATGTCGATGACAACATATTAGAGATGATAGAAAGAAACGCTAAGGTTGAAATTGTTATTTTTCATTTTGAATTACGTTTTTGAGGACGAAGGAGTTTCATCATTTCAAAGTCAATATGGAATTCGAATCAAGAAAGACTCGAATAACATTCTACATAATCTTTAAACACGTTATCTAAACATAAACTGTTTTGTATTCCCAAACATTTAGGCATTACAATAAAGCACGGAAACGTCAGGAACGTCGAATACTGCACTACTTTCGTGAAATACATCGTATCATTCCAGACCTAAAATTTTATATACAAAGCATTTTCGAGAGATTATTCCAGTACATGATCGTTAAATTCCTTGAAATCCATCCCTACGTCTCGAAAACTGCTTTGTTTCAAACAAATGATGAGATCTAAAATTTTACCCGTCTTATTATATCCACATTCCACATTTAATCGTCTACAAAAATGTTTCCAAGATTGTAAAAATAATTTAGCTATTATTTTAGTGTTAATTGTAATTTTTGGTCCACTAAATTATAAGTAATAGTCTCGAAAAAGACTCACCTGTGGTAAGAAGTAGGCAGAACAGATGCCATTTTTGGGCCCTTTGCGAAGTAATCATTTTCTCTGTCGCTTGTTGTTTGTGTTTTGGTTAAGGCGTTTTCAATGCCACATCCTGCACTTAAGAACTTGAAGAACTCGTTTTTTAAACCTTGTAAAGACAACTTGATGTATAGATAACTCTGGAATTTGTCCTCATATATCACAGGTTGTTATTTCGATCCAAGCTGTTCAATTATATTCAGCTCATCACACTAAATTGATCTTTTACGAGTTCCCAACATTTTGTTATAAAATGGCAATTAATGGATGATTGAACATTAATGAAAACGATGTGAATTTTCAAGGATTGTTATGGCAAGTTTCTGTCATGAAAAAAAATAATGATAAATAATTACTCGTTTTCTATTTCCTGCGATTCTCAAAAAATCACTAAGTGAGAAAGTGATGCCTGAAGAAATTAAAGCTATTATTTAAATAATAGCCTGTCCTTTTTAAGGAAGCCGTTAAAGGGGATTTAGCTTGCAACCGGTGAGGTGCACACAAATGCAGATCTTTCTCTATATAACAATGAAGATATCCTCTTATATAACAGAGAATGTTTCTCTTATTTTACAGATATTTATCTTTACAATAGATCGCCTCGGACAAACCAGAAAAGGGTCTTCTTTTATATATTAGACTTTTCCTTATATAACAGATCCTCTCTTATACAACAGAGAAGGTAGTGAGATGTAAGCAACTGTAGCTTGTTTGTCTTTCATTAGCGCTGCACGGTGCAGGCATGTCAAGGGTCTCGAGCTCGTCTAAAATATCTCTGCAATTATCCCAGTATTCTGTTATCTTCATTCTAATTATTTAAAAGGTACAGGATGGTCTAGAACTTACGTTGAAGCTACCCACTAAAATAATTAAATGAGTAAATGGTGGAAGGCATTAGCATCTGAAAATTTTATATCATCTTATTACAGGGATTACAGGGAGAGGGTTAAACGTTCCATAGAGCTTGGTAATTTAATATTAAAATAGTAGCTCAGTTATTATTCATAAGATGCAAAGGCAGCATTATTTACGATATTTATATACAATATTGGGATTAATCATTGTAATAATGCTAATATCATTCATGGCTACCATCTCATGAATAATATATCGAAAATGAATGCATTTACTGTAAGCGTTCCACCAGTGGGGCACCGTAATAGTTAGTCAATACCCGTCACCTAAGCAATGATTGGCTTTTCACTAAATTTTGTTTTGACTCACATTACCTAACCAGATGGCCTTTCATTTTTTAAAATGAGTAATTACAGCGTCATGTGTATATTGGCATAACCAAACTCGTGACCAGCCTTGTGACCGACTATTGCTTCATCATTACCTTAGTCCATTGAGGGGTTTGCAAATGAAAGGTCCCCTATTAGTATTAGTAATACAGCGTTCACCATGAAACATTACTCAAAGCTTTAAATTGTAAAGTCTCCCTCATCTAACTATTATATTCACGCCCGCGCATAGCCTGAATTTTTCAGTCATTGAGGTCATCCCTCATTTACTGAGTGTGTCACACACACTGTTCCATTTGGCTGCCCCCGCTTGATTGTGTAGGGGACTGCTTCTAATTTCCCCAAGACTGGGGAAATGATGCAAAACTTTTTTACGTTAATCAGACTTTAAAGCTTATGTATGCTGGCCCTGGAAAATTTTTCTTGTGTGTGACTGTAAAATAGAATATTATTATTTTAATGTTTTCAGATGTTTTCAGCAATGATCTGTATTTCCGCACATAATGGAACAAACTTTAATTAAGTTAACGCAAAATGCTTTTTTTTTTTTTTAACAAATGGTGTGCGCCTTTTCCAAACAAAATAGACTACTCCAAAACACAGGGTTTGATAACCTCATTGCGATATTACGAGGATAAAAGAAAATGTTCTAAGCCTCACGATAAATTGTTGTCAATGACTTAATCGATGAGGCACGCCAATGCATTAAATGGAATGGCGTTCATTCAGCGCAGGTCGATCGTTAATTGCTGGCATTTGGAGGCTCAACGGCTTTGCTTTAACGCAAGCATACGATAGACTGCTAGGCTTATAAGCTGGCATGGATGAAATCCAGGCAGAACTGTGGATATTGCGGGTTATGAATTGGTAGGTGATAAAAAAATTATACCTAATGGTGTCACACTGCGCAGAAAGACCTCATCAAAGGCCATACAATTAAATTGCCGGCATCAAAATATGCAGAATGGCGCTAAAAAAATGATTTTTCCCACAATATCCTTTCTTATTAGTTTCATTTTCTATTAATCTACTATATTCATTAAATTTCATGATTGATTAAATTAATATATATTGATTAAATTAAATTTCATAAATTCGCTGTAATTTCATGAATTATCCGATACCACATTGAAAGTTGCGTCATCGCGGAAATTTAATTTTTTCGATTACCTAATTTTGGCATTGGCGTTCATAATCGCTGCATAGCGATAAATAAATTGATATAAACTGATACGCAGCTTCGCAGCAGCCGTTGACCCAGGTAAGTGTTAGAAGTCCCGCGGCCTCCATACTATCTTACAGAATCTATTTTCTACGATTATAACATCGCTGTTCATATAACATCGCTGTTCAAGCCATATAGCGAATAAACTCTAGCTTTCTAAAACCACACTTAACAACTTTGAAGCAAATCATTGGCTGCCCTAGAATAATTCTCTCAAATCCTAAAGGCTTGTGATCTTGTAATATAGCATCGCGCCAAAACACATGGTCGGTGAGGTCAGGCTCCTGTATCTCAGTATATGTCTCATGTGTTCCAGCATCAAAACACGGCAATGTCACAGGCTCTGGGTGTACGCTGGTTTACTGCCGCGGCATAGCAGTAATGGCCAAAAGACACGCAAAGTATTCGCGCAATAACACAACAAGTTTTGGGCAATACATCGGAGACATCTTGCAGAGAATCGCTGTGTTTTGACAATCTTTTGTTCTTGTTGTCTGTTTCTGATGCAATGCAATCTTAAGGAATTTTGTGATCATCAGTAAGAAAATGTAGATAATTTGTTCAATGCTCTCATATATCCGCGACATGAATATGTTTTGGAGGCAACTTAATATCGATTTATATAATAATAATAATATATAATATAGCGGGTTATTAGGCCGGAGGCCTGTCGGTGATTCTTAACATTGCAGGACATCCACAGATAGTTGCTGGCTTGAACTCGCAACTCACTGCTTCAAATTTGCTGTGCTAAACCGCCCGGCCTCCTTGCCGATTTTGACCAGAAACTGGCGCACAGAGCTGGGATCGAACCCGCCCCTCTCTGCGCCAATCCTGGTACTCTGAACTTTACCCACTGGGCCACCCTGCCCCAATACAGGGTGAAATTTATTATTGCAGGGATTTCTGAAACTTAAACTACATAGAAACACAATATTGAAATGTATGAAATTGATTCGATTAGTTTGAACATATTATTAATTCGATGCTATGAATTTACAAAATATGCCTGGTTAGTGTTCCTACAATTACTGATATTTGATATCACGTGTGCTCCGAGTTTATTACTTGCGTGCGCTGGAGAAGTTTGTTTCTTTTAATCGTTTTCAAAAGAAGATACTCTCATATTTGGGATTGAATTGCTTTTTACGAGGGGGTAATAAAAAAGTTTTGAATGATTAAGTTTTAATTGGTGAGACCCTCCAATCATTGTTGCAAAACCTCTTCGCCCAGCCTGTAATCAACTGAAGCAGCTGTTAGATCTAATGATCTAACTGTATACGCACCGTGGTGATCTATACCTACGTTTTATTTTTTTAATACGACAGATCAATCCATGCCAAATATCTCGTACAGGCATGATGAACAATACGAGTAGCATGGCCTTAAAAAATTAAACTGATCCCTGAAAGGACAGATGCTCATCACCTTACAAAAAAAAACGTTTTGAGGTAACTTTCAATTCTCGACGCATTCATATCACATATAATGAAAAAATTGAACTTTTCAATTGTTCCAGGTGAAATTCATCAGTGTGATTTGTCGGGTGTACTCATGCATTCACTTGCAAAATCTCACACAAAGACTCGCTTTATGTTTTGTCTGAGGTAATTTCTCTGGTATTGTGTCATCAACGGACTGCTGCGATGAGTCTCGAGAAATGAGGCGGCATAAGAAAGACAGTTAGGAAAATTAAACTGAATGCAAGACTGAAAATATTATTAAGTACAGTGAATTTTTTGAAGCTGTTAGTTGTCTGGAGATGCTCATAGTTTGGATGTACGGCCACAGATATATTGTAATGAATGAATCATTATTATTAATTGAATAAAATTCTGGAATTCTGCTAAATTGGTTAAGAAAAAAGGTGGTGTGAAATTAAGCCTACCTTGTACGTACATATTCCCACAATCTATGGCAAAATATCTCGTACAGGCTTGATGAAAAATACGATTAGATTGGCCTTAAATAAATTAAACTGATCCCTGAAAGGCATGGCCTTTCTGCCGTATTAAAGGCATGGCCTTTCTGCGATCTGTTATATGTAAACCAATTTCAAATTGAAAATATGAGGAACAGGAAACTAATTTGAAGCACAAGTAAGTTATATGGCCTGGAAACATGGCCACAATGGACATGGTCTATTGTGGACAATAATTATCTATAACAATAATTATCGATAAAAAATTTTTGACTTAGTTCAGGTATCGGAGCTGACCTTAACTCTGGATTTTCTCGCAGTTCACCTTGCATGTCATCACCTCATATACTCAACAAGCAATGAATTATAACCCCTGAGCTGTAAGGTCTTGCATTAAAATTTGTGTTGATGGATTGCTTCATCAATTAAAATATGTTTTACTTGTTAAGTAGAACATATTATTGTTGAAATACTGCATCTCAATCGGGGCAAAAAATTAAGAAAAAAATAAGATAATACATTTTCAAAAATTAAATTAATTTTTATATCAATCTATAAAATAAAATATTCCATTTAATTTAGACAAGGATTTTTTTCAAAGCGTGTGTTCTTCAATAATGCAGTATAGACTACGAAAAAAGATCTTCAAAGTTCTGTACAAACTGAAGAACACGTGTTTAGCGCAATCAAAATATTCACTCGCTTGCTTAAGTACTCTGGAGAGTCTTTCCCAAGCACCAACAAAGATCCTTGATCAGCAAAAAAAATATCTTGCAATTTTTCCATTAAAACTTAGTGATCAGATTGATCATAATTAGTGACTCTTAAGCAAACAATGTCGTCTTCAGAGCTATCAAATCTTCTACTTGGACTGAACCACAAGAAAAGAGTTAACGGATGAGTTAGCTTTTGAACA